AATGAGATCCTCACACAATATTGGGGCAGAGGATGACCCCTGGGGCAGTCCCTGGGGTGTGGGGCAGTTATCACCTGCTCTGGGATGTGCTACCAGCATCAGCTACYGTGCTCATGTTCTTCCTTGGAGGAAATCCCTGTCTGTGTTTTTGTGGGATGGAGCAGGCTCTGGTTGGGCAGGGACTGGAGCAGATGAGGAGAGGTTGGGAATGAAGCACATGGCAGGGATGGGCGAGGAGGGGCAGGCAGGGGATGCACTGTGATGGGCTCAGGTGTGTGGGGTCAAAGTGCAGGTGTGCAGCAGCTAAAGGCCACTGCACCCATTAAATGTGCATTAAAAGCACGTCCAGGTCAGCCCCAGCCTGGCAGCGGCCCTCAGTACAAATGAGCACTGACGCTGCATTTATTCCTATTTCAACATTCTCMAGAGACAACAAAATGTCAAAATTACCATCTGGAAAGAGTCCAACATATTCTCCACGCTTGCAGAGCCCCCCCTTTCCCCATCCCCACCTCCAGCCTAGCATGAGGGCTCTGATATCCCCTCGACCACRCCGTGCTGGCCGGAGTGTCCGCAGTTTTCTCCCAGCCAGCCATGCCATGGGGTGACATAGAAGTGACCTTTGCTGGCTCAGACAGGGTGCCCAGCTGCTCCCAGCTCAGAGCCAGCCCRTGGCCTCCCATGGGMTCCCAGCCCAGCCCATCCCACTGAGGATGGATCCTGCCTGCGGGGGAAGCAGGGGACACAGCCATAATGTCACCACGGGCAGTGGGACTGTTCAGGGGGAAGGACGGTGCTGGAAATGCTGTGGCAGAGGGTGCAGCAGCCAAGTGRAAATTTAAAAAGCTGCAGGAGGATGCACTTAACCATTATGCCACTTTCAGGAGAACTGCCCTGGAATAAAGATGTTTATAATTSTACAAAAATACTGTAAATTAAGCTCTTATTTTTCCCATTTGTGCTACTCACTGGTATATAATTTCCCTGTTTGTGCTGTGAATACAGACTATTCATTTTCTCTAAAACTGTTTTCTTACACATTTTGCTTTCAGGAGCTGGTGTGGGAGCAGAGCCTGGCCATGACCACCGTGCACGAGCCGTCAGCACTGCCTGCCCCTGGGGCTTCTGCTCGGAGCCACCTGCACCAGGCTTTGACAGTCCTGGAAATGTTCCTTCCACTGTCCTTCCTGAGGAAAGGGTGCACCTGTCACTGACCCCTGCTTTGCTCCAAGGGTTTGTTTTGTTCCCCTCCCTGTAAGATGGGAGCTGCCAGCCTTGCTACCAGACCTGAGATGAGGCTGGGAAGCTCCGAGTCTTGGATCAAGCTCTCCCATTTTACCACTTATGGTTCAAATCCCCCCCAAACCCATGAGATCAAGTAAAAGCCCCATTTCCCTTTGACCATCCAAAAAAAATTGCATTTTCAATGGTAAAACCACTTTGAGGGTGGGGTTGGGTTTTTTTTTAAGCTATCCCATATAAGCAGAGCTGGAATCYATTGTACTGGAACCCATATTATACAAAATAATTTTTAATCCTCGAACTTCTTTCTTCAGGCAATCAGCTTGTTTCTTTAATTCAAATTAGATCTTCATATTCAAGTCTCATTCTAGTTAATCATATTTTTCAATTAAAYTCAATTGTCTGTGATCTTCCTAACTTCCAATGCTTCCCTGCATGTCTAATACGGGCAAATTTTGCATTTGTTCCTTTTACTTTCCCTTTTTTTTTTTTTCTTTTAATTCAAGCTGGTGACATTTTGCTTAACCAATTTCCAGCAATGGGACGCACTGGAAGAAATCAATGTTTCCACAGGCTTTGCTTGATGTTGGGGTGTTCATGGTCACCGTGGTCAGGGAGGAAATCCGAAATCATGGGGTGGTGAGGCTGGGACAGGCTTAGAGGACACAGAGCATCCCTCTGCTTTTTTAAGTGGYCCTTCAAAACACAGCCTTTAACATTTAGCCCTTCTAGAGGAAGAAAAAGAAGTGTTCTGTGGAAAGCACGGTGTTAAACATGGGCTACAAGTACCTGGGAGAGCTCAGAGCAAGTCAGACTCGGATTTCTGGAGTCTGATATTCAGGGCACTGCAGCTCAGCCCTCCAGACATTTAAGCACAGCTCACTGCCCAATATTGCATCCAAACCCATCCCTCCTGCAAGCATGCACCAACTCTGAGATCCCACCTGGCCTCAGACACYACCCAGTGCTCAGGATGGGGAGACCTGGGGAAAACCAGGGCCTTTCAACARAGAGGGAAAGCAGCAGACAAAAGGAAGGAGAATTTTTAGGACAGTTTTGTGCACAGTTGTGAAGCACCCAGGGAGCAGAACCACCTTGGTGGTGAAGCTGCCACTCATGGAAAAAACTGTTGGCAGWKGGCAGACTTCACACAAYACTTAAYAGAGAGGTCAGAGAATAGAAAAWCACAGAATGRTTTGGGTTGGATGGGACTCTAAAGATCACTTTGTTCCAACYRCCCTGCCATGGGCAGGGACACCTTCCACAAGATCAGCTGGCTCAGAGCCCCATCCAGCCCAGCCCTGAACATTTCCAGTGMTGGAGCATCCTACAGCTTCTCTGGGCAATGTATTGCAGTGCCTTTACTGCAGTAAAGAATTTCTTCCTAATATCTWATCTAAACCTACYCTATTTCAGGATAAAGACAGGAAAGSTGCAGCAGCCCAAGGATAAACCYCTGCACASGAAGGTGATGTATATAATCAGCTACATCTTTACCTGGCCAGTTCTCTGACACAAGAGTGCAAAAGGCACCTGGGAGCCAACCCTGCCCTGACCAGTGGCCTCAAGAGCTGATATTTGCAGGGAAAATGCTCCTGTGGGATTTGCTTGGTTATTGCATTAGGGCTGCTTTGCCRCTTCCATGCAGTAGCAAAGTCTGGCTGTTTCACCATCGGTGTCATCACGATGCTTTCAGCACTTCTGGAAAGGTTACAGGAACCAGAGGACCAGAGATCAGGTGAGAAATTCAGTTTTCACCACCTTTTTTAAATACTAATAAATGCTGGTTATGATAAAAAAGCCAGAAAAAGCCCCCAAGTGTATTTTGAAGATGGAAAGACCAGCAGGCAAAGAAAAAAAGGCCCCCAGTTTTATTATTTTGTATAATCAGAGTATAATTGGAGAGCAGACGCTGTCTGCAGCACGGTGCCATTGGGGACTCTGGTTTTCTAATAAGAAACCCATGAGGGAATTAGATGCTGTTTCAGTGGTGTTCTGGCTGATTTAAGGGATGCACCTGGAGCCAGAATCCATGCCTTGAGTTGCTGCACTTCACCAAAAGCAAAAAAAAATGTAAGGTGCCATTTGTAAATCCCTGCAAAAATTGGGTCTGCGGAGGGAACAGCGAGAGCCCCTTAATTATAGCAGTGCTTTTGGGAGCTGTGATAATTAGGAGTTTCCGGTGTTCTGGAAATCAAAGTGGTTTTCTATTCTCTTCTTTAATTAATTCAGGCTTTTATCTGTGAAAGTRGAGATGAATTAAGGTTCTGCTCCAGGCAAAGGGCAGTGATGCTCGTGCAGTCCCTGGCAGGGTGAAGCCACTGGGTCATGTCCCTCACGCTGCAGCATCCCCGGTCTCTGGGTTTTAATAATTTGGGGGGTGAAGGGGAAAGGCCAGAGGGTGACATGCCTCAAGCAGGACTCACCACAGCATGCACATATCACAAGAGACCTGCTGCATTGCATGGGGCTGTGCAGCCGTGTCCCCATGGCAGGGGACACACTGCCTGCCAGCAGGAATTGGGCAGATAGCAGACACCCGGCGTTATCACCTCCCCGCATGAAAAACAGCGAGCCAAGCTGCTCAAAAATCGCAAGATTGGTATAAAATCATGATTTTTCTTTTCCTGTTCAAAGGAAATGAATGCTATAAGCCCCTTTTATTCCACCCTGGGAGGGGTCGATTTTGGGAGGTTTTTTAGGGCTGGGAAGTCACATTTAAAAATGCATGTGGCTGTTAGAAGACGACGACAGCAGTATGGGATTTGTGGTAAAATCGTGCAGTATGGCCAAAGTGGATGTCTCCATGATGTGAACTGTACATGTGATGTTCAGAGAGAGGTTTCCAGCTGTAAGTAAAGCCTCCAGCTGATGGGACGACCTCGGTGCTCAAAACAGGAGCATCTGTCACCCACCAGAGCAGAAGGCAGTGTAATGCAATTAACCCATACAGCTAATTAATCAAATCCAGCCCCGACAGTGTTATCAAGGAGCTGCCTGGAAATGTTTCTTTATGTCAAAGWCTATTTTTAGATCAAATAAATCCAGACCCATCCTGGACAAGCTGTGCTCCAGTTTGGGGCACCTCCATTTTTCATCATTTCCCAGCAGTGAATTCTGCTGCGAATACCCAAACCACGGGCCCGTGCCCCAGAACAGTTTGATGCTGGATTAAACAGTTTTCCTAGAGAGAAACTGAATTTCCACATCCACCTTCCTTGACTTTTGGACTGTTTTCTCCTTTTCCTACTAGATGGCGCCTGCACGACAGGCGGAGACGAGCCCCGGCGGGGAGCATCTCTAACAGGTTTCCTYCGCGAAGGGCCGATAAATGACACTTTTCCCCGAAAAGCCAGGCAGTTGGGAGAGCGATAACCTGCCGGGAGCTGATTAGCAGCAGGAAGGCGCTTTCTGGAAACACCACGTTAACTGTGCTTCCCCGGGGGATGCTGCCAGACCCCCRGGAGGGAGGAGAGGGGTGGTGGGGCCGGGCCAGGAGCTGTATCCAGGGTACCCCGGGTGTGTATGGACACTTTCAGCCCAGACATCCTGCTGAGCACCGAGTGACAGCATAAACTGCCACTTTTTCAACCAATAAAGACACTGTGTGCCCAACTCTGGCTCCACAGAGTTTCCCCATTTTGGCAGTCCCCAGCTGATTCCCCTACACGAGCTCTCTGTTTCACAACTGGCCTCTGCTCATTGGCAATAATTAACCACACGTTATCTCCACCCTCCACCTCCACCGTGCATGTACATTGTACACGTYCCAGCCTCTCGGCTCCTTTCTGAGCTTGGCATTTTCGGCATTGCCAAGCCATGTGCCAGTCCAGTGCAGACAGAGCCCTGTCGTGCTAATAACCCAACTTCTCAACCCAAACGGTGCCACCGGGCCCCAAGAAAGCAGATTCCAGCCCAAACCACAGCTGTGGGAAGGCCACCGGAGGAGCTCCGTTTACTGACTGCTCTGCCAACTAAGTTTGGTTTTCCAGTGGTAAGTTTGCCATTTACTGCTCCTGGATCTCAGGGACATGCCCTGGGTCACCCTGGGTGCTGGACAGGAGCTGAGCTGGCTCCTCCATGCTGTCACCTCGGGTGGCTCCAGCATCCCTGAGACACGATGTGGGAGGTAGGGATTCCCCATCACGCGGTCACCTTGGATGGCTCCAGCATCCCTGAGACACGATGTGGGAGGTGGGGACTCCCCATGGCTCCGGGTGCAGCCTCCAGGAGCTGTCGAGGTTCATCTGCTCCCGGTGCCACGCTGTGCCAGCACACGGGCACTGGTGGATCCTGGCAGCCCCAGCCCCGAGCAGATCCAAAGCAATTTCTTGCCCCGTGGAGGGGAAGGACAGGGAGGAGCGGGTACAGCTGGCACCAMRGCTGAGGGGACAGCAGGACRCAGATGGTGCTGCCAGAGAGCTGCRGCTCTGACCAGAGAGTGATGGGGCTGAAAAGAGGATTGCTGAGAGRAGAACAGTCCAGATGATACAGGGAAAGAAAAACCCTTGCTCAGGACCAGCAAGGAAAAAGGAGAACAAAACCAAAACACATAAACACACAGAGACATTGGCCAAGTTCAGCACGAGCCTGGCGCATTGTGTCTCTGAGGGGAAAAGAAAAATTTAACCAAATTACAAACCCACATCAGGTCCCTCATCTGAAAGGAATGTTCCCAAGGGAATTTTTTGAGCAATCTATGAGGCCAATCAAGGTCTGGGAGTTGGGGGGGCCTTAGCAAATTATCCAGCAAATAGGTGGCCTGGACAGGGCTAGCCACAGGTTTGAGAAGGGGGGACAGATACAAAATGGGTGCTCATTTTGAGATGCTTCTCTGTGACACAAAGGTAGAAAAGAGGGTGTTTTGATGGAAAGCTGGCTAATTTACAAAAAAAAAGGAAATGCAGTCTAAAAAAAGGAGAAGTTGATTCAGCACTTTGGGAACTTCAGCTGGTTGGTCATTTCCCAAGGAAGGGATTATACATCAGCAGCCTTGCCCCATCAGGGAAAGGTACAGGGGGAGACCCACACAGTGCAGAGACCTGAGAGATCAAAGRTGAATCTGTAAGATGAATTGTGAGGACCAAGGCAAACAATGCAACAACTATGGGTTCTGTAAATCAGTCTAAAGGGAAAATTTGTCCTTTATGTAATGTGAGAGAGCAGGTAACAAGATACAACAGGTACAGGAGTGTTCAATGATTTCTTGACTTCAGTCTCCACAAAGACCTGATGGTGGCACATAAATTATCATCATGGTAGGAATGAGGAAGCAGGGGCCACAACGGGTAAGAAGGGGCTAAGGAGTTTCCTCACTCTTCCAGCTGCATTTAGTCACAGATGGCCACTGCAGAGGTGTGATGCAGTCCAGCTATCCCAAAGATCCTCCTCCTGAACATGCCAACTGTCCAATACYCAGGGAACTCAAGCATCTCAAAGTTTGCAGCTTGAACATCCCGAGTCTCTGGAGCTCTCTCTTACCCAGGATCCAGTCACTGGGAGCCACCAATGGGAGCTTTGCCCAGAAATTCCACATTTTTGCTGAAGCCTCCCCAAATCAGCAGGTTTCTGTGTCTCCCAACCCATGGGTGTGACAGGTGACGAGTACCCACACAAGCTGGGACAGCCCTGGCTGGTATCATGCCCCCTTTGCAGGCAGCACAGGGACAGGAGAGGGGGGACATCTGCATAGGACAGTGGTGAGAGAGGGCTGAGATAGTCAAAATCACAGCCTGCACAGGAGAGGAAAGAAGCGGGGCTTGTTTCAAAACTCCAGAAAGACATATCCCATGTGCAAGGAGGACACAGAGGGGATGCAGTCGGCAAAGATCAGGAAAACCCTCCAGACTGCAGGGACAGTGAAGCACTTAAAGCTGCGTTCAGAGGGGCTGCACATCTCCGTGCCCGAGCTTCAAGCACACCTGCAGCCGCATCCCCGCAGCTCTGGCACGGTGCGGGGATGGATGCGGTCCCTTCCCTCCGTGCTCCTCTACCGAGTGAGCAAACCGAAGCTCCAGAGGGATTTGTTTTCAAGTCCCTGTGGGGTTGCCCGGGTGCTTTTGCCTGGAGACATTCCCTTTGATGCCAGCTCCCGGCAGCGCGCTGCCGCCCGTCTATCGATAGGAGCGGGGCCGTGTGGCTGTGCTGGGTGTTCGCAGCAGCACAACTCTTTCCCAGCGTGGGGGTAAGAACCAAGAACCATTATCTGCTCCACGCCTCGTGGCACAGCTTTTCGCAACAAGTGCATGGCTCCTGATAGCAGGGGCAGAGGCGCAACAAGGCGCACCCGCCCATTAAAATGAGACACCGGCTGGCTCTGAAATGTGTTTATAAATAGAGAATTAAAGTCTGCCTTCTACTCCTGTCTGTAATAGACACCGCGACCCGGCTGCCCTGGCAGCGATGCTCCCCTGCCCGTGTGTTTGACCTGGGCACGGCAGTGACCCCCGGGCAGCACTGCGGGGACGGGGCCGGGGTCGCGCTGAGCCGGGCTGTGCCGAGCCGTGCCGGGCCACACCGTGCCGAGCCAGGCTGTGCCGAGCCCAGCGGTGCCTGCGGCCCCGGCGGGCACATGGGCAGGAGGGCGGAGCCCGCGGCCTGACATCACGGCTCGGCTCCGCGCTCCCGGACGGCGCCGCTCGCCCTCCCGCCGCCGCGCAGAGGTGAGCACCGCGGGGGGACGGGCACGGCGGGGACGGGCTGCGCTCACAGGAGCCGCCACCGGGGCTCGAACCGCCGGCCGGCAGAGCAGGGCGGGGCGGGGAGCCTGGGCTCGGCTCGGCTCGGCTCGGCTCGGCACAGCTCCGCTCGGCACAGCTCCGTTCGGCTGGGCTCGGCGCGGCTCGGCTCGGCTCGGCTCGGCTGTCCTGGCCGGGGGAACGTCCCGGGTCCGCGGGGCTCCCGTTCCGCCGAGCGCTGGGTCCCGGGCCCCGTTCCACCGCACCCCCGGCCCGGGATCCCCGAAGCGGGGCTGGGGAGCGGGGCTGCTCCGTTCTCCCTGCTCCATGCTCCGTGCTCCCTGCCCGCGGCCCGCTCCGCCCCGGGCTCGGGCACGGGGTCCGGGGCCCCAGGGCGCTTTTCAGACGCGGCCGTCTCGGTGCGAGGGTTGGGGTTGGGGCTGGGGCCGGGTCCCGGGCTGGGATTGCCGCGGTGTGGCTGGGTCCGGGCGGTCGCTGAGGACGGCTCGGTGGGATGCTCGTCCCCGGTGGGATGCTGCGGTGCGGGGTGCCCGCGGGAAGCGCTTTCCTCTCCGTGCTGCTGGGCACATCCGTGCGGCTGCGGGAAACTCCCTGGCACCGGGCACAAACCCCCCGGAACGGGTCGGGTTCGCTGTTCCGAGTGATGCGGTGCCCGTGAGCGCAGCGGGGATGGATGGGTTGATGGATGGATGGATGCACGCTCAGGCTGTGTTCCTTAGGGAGCAGCACTTGGCGCTTCGGTTTCACTTTTCATTCTAGCTCGCTAAATGCTTTGAGGAAATGAGTGGCTCCTTCCAGCCAGGGAGAAATCAGCACTGAGATATAAAAGAAAAACTTGGGGAAAATCTTGGCCAGGGCCCAGGGTCTCTCAGAGGCGAGCAGGGAGCAGCTCTGTGGTTTCTGAAGCGATGCAAAGGTGGGCTGCATTTGGTGGGGGGACTTCAACATTTGATCCGTGTAATAGTAATGAGGGGTGAAAACTGTGAGGGAAGAGCAGAGGTGATTTTGCAGAGGGAGCATCCCACAGGTGATGGAAGCTGGGGTGGCACTGTCCCTGTCCTGTGGCCCTGGCCAGGGTGTGACACCTGCCTGTGATGGCCTCTTTGCTGAACACCGGGGAGCTGGGGGGGAGTTTGTGTTTGTAATGCCTGAGCTGGGCAGAGGGCAGAGGGGTACAGAGGACCCCAAATCATTTCCATCAGAGTGGTCTAAATAAAACTAACACGTAGAAAAGTGCCTCCTGTGGCAAGAAACCAAAACTGAGAGACAGCAGGAGAGGAAGGCTGTCACTTACAGCATCGATACTCCTGTGGGCTGAGGAGATGCAGGACTAATAAGATTTAAATACTGCATCAAGCTTTCGTTTTCTCTTCTTTTAAAATCACATTTGCTGTGAAACAAATGTACAGTAATATAAGATGCTGCAGTCACTGCATGTATTTGATTTCCTCTGTGATTGTWAAGAAGAAAACGTTGATGACTCAACAAGTCTGTGTTTAACAAAACCACATCAAACCCCAGGAAAACATGCTCTTTGGAAGCATAATTTTTTTGTTGTTTGCTTTGCTTTTCATTTTTGTTTTGCTTTTTATTGTTAAGAACTRTGCTTTGACTGTGACCTTGTAACATCACACCCATAAATGGAAGCAGGTTTAAATTCAGGGGAAACACATTTTTTCCGATGRTGGAAGAAGTAGGCCAGCCATGCCAGCTCTCTTGAGAGGTGGGAAAGGCAGTGTCAGTTGTGATAAGAAATGTCTCACACCAGGAATTCAAACCCACCAATTTGTTATCTATATGTTTACCATCACTGATTAGAGTTAGCTTTTTGTCAACCTCATAATGGAAGAAAATGCTATTTTCAAATTTGAATTTACTGCAGTTTTCCCTGCAGACCTACAGTGGATTAAGCAGCTTCCCATCTTCATCYAAGCTCAAGTGAACCGTCACTTAAATGAAAGCAAAAATCTTCTGAAAGTATGTCAGTGACGTGGGAGCTTTCAACACATTTCCAAAAGCCTTTACATACTCCGGGGCCCAAACATTTTGAAAAATTTTCCCAGGATTTAGGGAACTGACACGGAAATTCCTCCCATCTTTTTTCCAGGTTCTCAGATTTTCAGTGAGTCTCYCTAAAGCCTTGGTTGGGGTAACACGTGCATTTCCATTTAGTTTGTATGAATACACCACTGTAGACTTTGGAAAAAAAAACAACATCCTAGGAGCTCCCCATGGGATGTAGGCTACAAGAATCAGGGTGTGGAGATAACATGTCCACCACTGAAGAAGGCTGATA